CCTATTGTTGGATTTTCCAAAATTGACCATAGGCAAGGAAAGTTTGAGGTCACCATCTTTGACTTGGGAGGTAGAAAAAGAGTTCAGGGAAACTGGAAGGATTACTACGCTGAGTCCTATGGGGTAATATTTGTTATGGATTCCAGTGATGAAGAGAGAATGGAAGAGACAAAAGAGACAATGTCAGAAGTGCTAAGACATCCTAGGATATTGGGAAAGCCTATACTGGTGGCTTCCAGTCAAGATGGTGGAACAGATGGTCCCCAGTGTCACTCTCTCCCACAAATCAATTGATTTACAACTATTTAAAAGCAATGACAGCCAAGCTGGGGCCACTAGAGTTCAGGGGAAGAGGAGGAGAGACCTACGGAGTTTATGAATGTGGGAGAAGCCATGATGAGAGAAAAAAAGGATTGCTCCCACCATTTCGAGGCCCAGCCACTTTAAGGCTGGAGCTGGTGAGCACACGGAACAAGAGCTGGCAAAAGCCACAGTTAAGCCCTTTGTATGAAGTTGCTTGGAGGCGGCGGGGGAGAAGAGGGCTTTGGTGGCCCCCAGGCCAGCAAGACCACTAACAGGGTTCCACATAGGAGTGAGAGGCCACAGACAACTGAAAAAAGGAGCCACTCAGAAGACAGTGAGTCATCGCAAGGGCAGGTGCATGGCCTGTCCCATGGGAAGTGTTTGGAGTGCAGGTGGTAGGGGAGATAGGCCACAGGGGCAACACTGGGGCACAGCATGGACAGCTGATCTGCCCTCCAGTCAGCACAGGACCACTCAGTGGACACTGGTCAGGAATACAGAACTACAGGAGGTGCAGTTTGCTGAAAAGACTCAGGACCAGACCAAAGTTTCCACAGAACCCAGGTGTACCAGACCTCACAAGACCTGGAAGTACATACAAGGTCAACAATTAAAACCTGAGCTTCACAAAAAGCCTTCCCTAGAGAATCAGCAGCAAAGCAGCAATTTAGCTTAACCATAGGGCACAAGTGCTGGACCCCACTGGAAGTTCCCCCATTTTAGAAGTAACCAAAGGACAACAAATTAGTTCCAGTGCAGAGTTTAAGTGGTGGGAGTAGCTAATAATCCAAAACAGAACTGAAAGAAAAAACAAAATGCCCACAGATAAGAGACAAAGTTTCATATTAACTAGTAAAGTTCTAACACCACCAAAGAACAACTATAAAACCTGGAAGGGCCAGAAGCCCACTGGGATCCCAAGCCAGAGCCATGGGCCTCAGCCACACACACCCCAACAACTGTACTGAGCCCAAAAACAACCACCAGGCTGCTGCCAGAAGCATCCTGGGCTCCTGAGCCAGGGCTGTGGGGATCAAGGGACTTGACCATGACCCCCCAACATCTGCACCCAGCCCAGCAACAACCAAGCTACTGCAAGAAGCACCCTGAGCTCCTGAGCTGGGGTGGTGAGGGGTTGAGGGCCTCAGCCACAACCCTCCAACATCCAAAACCAACCCTGTGAAGACTAACAAGCCACCACTGGAAGTACCCTGGGCTCCCAAGCCAGGGCAGACAGGGGGCTGAGGGCTTCAGCCACGTTCCCCTGACATCTGCATCCAGCCCAGCAATAACTGCACTGTCACTGGAAGCCGCCTGGTCTCTTCTGCCAGAATGAGGTAAGGGTGCCATGGACCTCGATCATGTCCCACCTCCTTCCTCCTCCTCCTACTCTATTTCTATTCCCCTTCCCTCCTCCCCCACCCCTGCAATTGCTCCACAACATCTTAGAATACAAAAAATAATAATATTAAAAAATATATTAATTAATTTATAAGACGGAGTTACCACAAACATGCTCCTGGTATATATACTCAGGAGAAATAAAAATACATGTCTGCACTAAAATTCGTACATGAATGCTCATAGCAGCATTGTACATAATAGCCAAAAGATGGAAAGAAACTTTTGATGAATGAATAAACAAAATGTGGTATATCCATATGTATTAGTCTATCTTCTGTCACTGATAACAGAATATCTGAAACTGAGTAATTTTCTTTTTTTCTTTTTTTTTGGGTAATTTATTTTTTAAAAAAAGAATTTTTTTTTTTACAGTTTTGGAGACTGGTAAGTCTGAGGTCCAGGAAGCACATCTGGTGAGGACCTTCTTCCTGATGGGGACTCTACAGTCTTGTGGCTATGCAGCGAATCATGAGAGTGGCTAAGATCACTTTTCCACATGCTCTCTTTCTCTCCTTACAAAGCCCCCAGTCTACTCTCTGATAACTCATTAAACCAGTAATCCATTAATCTATTCATTAGGACAGAGTCCTCATAATCCAATCACCTCCCAGAGGCTCACCTTTCAAATACCTTAGCCAGATTTCCCACCGTTAACACTGTTACAATGGGGATCAAGCTCCAACATGAGGTTGTGGGCACATTCAAACCACAGCAACACACAATGCAAAAATATTCAGCCAAAAAAGGAAAAAGTACTGATACCTGCTACAGCTCGAATGACCCTTGAAAATATTTTGGCAGTCACAAAAAAGACCATGTATTATACAATTCCATTTATATTAAATGCCCAGAATAGGTACGCCCATAGAGACACAGAGTAGATTAGTGGTTGGCTAGGGCTGGATGAGCAGAGAGGATTGAGGGTGATAACTAAATGGTACAGATCTCTTTTCTGGAGTGGTGAAAATGTTCTCAAATATATTGTAGTAATGGTTGCCCAACTCAGTGACTATGCTAAAAAAACCATTGAATGAACACTTCAGATAGATGAATTATATGGTATGTGATTATGTTCTAATAAATAAATAGCCAGGGCTGCTTCTGTATGTCCTGCTATGTCTCTGAAGGATGTGTAGAAATCTCCGCCTGAAGCTAGACCAATTCAATTCCAATCTTACTTCTACATCCTATTCATTAATTCCTTCCTCAATAGCAACATGGAAATGATAATCCCTACCTGGAAAGGTTGTTGCGATAAGAAATATACATTAGGACTTGCGATAAGAAATATACATTAGGATTAATAATGCACATTATCGAGGGCCGACCCAGTGGCGCACTCCGGGCGGCGCTGGGAGCCCAGCGACGCTCCCTCCGCGGGTTCGGATCCTATATAGGAATGGCCAGTGTGCTCACTGGCTGAGCGCGGTGCAGGCGACACCACACCAAGGGTTGCGAAAAAGACAAAAAAAGAAATAATAATAATAATGCACGTTATCGATATAGTAGAAGCTCCGTAAACACTATTGTGCGTGTGTACAGCAATGCAGGTGTACCAGGTTTCTTCAGAAAGTTCATGGAAAGATAGCATATTCCCTGTCTCCTTCTCTTTTAGCAATTGCGGGGGTAAGCGGATCATACCCTTGATTTTGGTATTAGCACCATGCTCCAACCAGGGCAGCTAACTGGCCAGCCCCATATTCTCTTTTAGTTCCATTTCTATACGAGCTCTGTGAAGCACCCTCATATGCACGTAAACACGGGACGGGGCCTTTGGGGACTTTCTCAGAGAACGGGATCTGGAGGGCTAACCGTATCCCTGGTTTCGGCCTTCGTCCTCCTTGTCTCTCAGGCTCTAGAGACTACGACTAGGGGAGACTCACTACTAGGGTAGTGAGGTAGCAGCGCAACCCGAGTACCCTGGAGTCAAGGAAAAGCCCCGCACCGGAGGGAAGCCGAGCCGAAGGGCGTGGCGAGGGCGCCCTACCCGACAGGGGCGTTGCTACGTAACGGTGCGGGCCGGGCAACCAGCCGAACCGGCTGCGGCTGACAGACGCGCAACCGCGGCCCACACCACCCTGCGCAGAGAACAATACGCTCACGCCGAGGCGCGGGGCCTCGCGGGGCCGCGCCCGGGGGCGGGCCCGACCGGGGCCTGTCGGGAAACGTAGTGTCAGAAGCCCCGCCCGCGCCGCCCAGTCCTCGGATAACT